AAGAGTGAGTCAGGCACAAAGGTGGATGTGCAACTTTTTCTGGTCTTTTTTTGGTATTCGTGATGACAGAATCCATAAACTTCAAGTAAGCATCTAAACATGCATTGAGTAATTGCAATATAAAACTGATGCTAGTTATCTCTCGTGCAAACCTATGGCAATGCAGGCTAACAAGTGCACAGCATGCCTAACTAAAAATACTGGTAGTGTTTGGTCCTAAAATCAATGGTTAGTACAGCAGAACAGTAGTAATGTCTAGGCACTTAAAAGTTGACAGAGAATTCAAGAGTGCTTTCCCATGCTGCCTGGAAAATACATCATCCAGTCAATAGAGGTATCAAATACTTATTTATAGGACTTGAAAACACAACATGAAAAGTGAGCTAATATGATCTGCATGCAGGGTAGCCTTCCTGTGAGCTATGTGCCTGGCAAGAATATTTGCAAACTTCATTAATATTAATAATGGGAGGGAGGAAAGAGAGAGTTTACCCAAAAGAAAACAGCATCAAAATCAGTGTGTAATAATATGACAAAATGAGTGAGACAATAACCAAGGAAAGGATTTTGTAGGTATTCCCATTGCTTCTTCCTATGGTTGTTTATTTGGATGCAGAAAGTCAAGTTAAAGTACACATGACCTGTCAGAGCACAGTGCTTGCCATGGAATAGCTTTTTTTTGCTGACTGAGGACAAGGGAAGACAGCCCATGGTCCCAAGACCCACAGGCTGCCCTGGTAACCATTAGGACTCCAGCAGCGTGTGCCACCTGCAGACCTGTGTCCCCTTGGACTCCTTCATTTCCTGCCAGTGACTCTGCTCTTCCTCTCCACTGCTGTTCTGACCCATAGAAATCCAGCCAACCATCTCCTTGCGCTTCATGCTGCGCCTGTTGTATATGGAGATCATTAGTGTGACATCAGAGAGCTGGAAGAGGGCAACCTGGAAGATGAAAGTTTCCTTGTAGACAGGGTTGGGCTGTCCTCGGCGGATGGAGGTCTTGCAGCGAGACATCTCCTGGCCCACAGAGTTGAGCAGGCAAAGTTTTCCATAGGTGTCTAGGATGAAAAAGAGGAAATAATTTGCTTGGCACAGGTGACTGACTAAGTGAAAGTCCCAAGGGGGTCAAAACCACTCAAAAAAATGTCCAAAATGTCCAAAAGCTGAGAACAGCTTTGTCTACAGTGAATAACAGATGAGAGCTGGGCTGCTTTGCTTAGTAAAATCCATAGGATGAGAAGCAGCAGGTGAAAGCACCTCTTGGATTTCTCCATATTCATCTGGGGAGAAGAAAGGAAGTTAAACTGATGCTTGATTGGAAGGAGCTCTCATGGAAAGAGCAGGAAATCTGGTTTTCAAACCTAGTAAACCTGTCCAAGACTAATAGAAACTATCAGCATCTCTACAGATTTTCCACATCAAATGGTGTGTCTGCACCCTTCCTTCGTCCCCCTCACAACCAGGTTTCATTGGAGCTGTCTTACCAGGCCTTCCCTTGGCTGCACTTGCCTCTCCACCACTTTCCTTTGGACAAATGCCTCTATCACCTATTATTTGAGACAGTAAAAAATGAAAGGAAAAAGAAGAAAAAAAAAAAAGAAAAAAAAAAAAAGGGGTCCTGAAAAAGAAGGAAAAGAAACCTGAATGCATGGTGGAATTATTTGATCTTGCACAATAGCTCCAAGACTTTTTCCAAATTCTCATCTTCCTTTTTCGGTGCATTCAAGGTCAATTTTATTTAAATCAATACAAGAAGTAAAAGTGCCTAGTAGGTACAGGGGAGGGATGATCCAAGTCAGCATTCCTGTAAACCCACCCTTAAACCTCTTGCTGCCTCCTGTGTTAGTCAGTTCACCTCTGTTATGTGGTCACTAACACTGTAGTCTCAGAGTTCTGTGGTCCCAGTGCTCCACAGACCCAGCTCAGCACAAGTTGTCACCTCACTCTGCACATGACAGTAATGGATCACTTGGCTAGAAAAGTCCCCTCCTAACTCCTGCATAATCTGTGCCTGGGTTTCTGCAAATGAATATTATTTCAGAGTGTGCTGAAGACAGGAAATAAATAACCAGCCCCCATCTCTTGTCTACAGCATGTCTATCCTCTTCTGTTCCCGTTTGATGTGCTATTTTACGCACTTCTCTACTGAGCAACACAAGGTGTGAAATTACACTTCAGGTGTGAAAACACTTCTGTGTCTCCAAAGCAAGGCTCCCCGCTCCGCTCAAACTGTTCCACTGAAAAAGCTGTCAGGAGACTGACAATCGAGGAGCAAATTGTGAGCCTGCACAGCTGCACAGCTATCCAGTTACCACGGGGAAAGTTCAGTCCCCTCATCAGCTGGGGGTGCCAGCCTGGCTCCCACCACATTAGAGATGAAGTAAATCTTGCCAGCAAAGACCTACCCATTAGATAGAAAAGCAGAGCTCTGACAAGAAGTAGTTTCCTGATTGTATCTGGGAAGAAAAGAATTGCTTTTTCAAGAGGTAGACTAATTCCCAAAGGAGCATTCAGTGTTGGTGGTGCTGAGGGACTGAATTCTGTAATAACTTCAGAAACACAAAGCCCAAGAGAGGCCTCTCTTTTCTAGCTCAACCCAATGTGAAACCATGCAAGGTGCTACCAGACACGATCTCTTGCAGTACTCATAGAGACATCCCTTTGCTTTGCACTGACAAACCACAACGTGCACTGAAGCAATCCTCATGTGGAAGTCCTGGCTGCTGGTCTGAGGAACTCCCTGGAAATAAAAATAAGTGGAGAGTAGGAGTTTTATGGATTTATTTATTTTTTTTTAAGGTGTTCACCTTCTCTTTTTGTTGTAGTTTTTTTTTGTGGTTGCTTGTTGTGGTTTGTTGTTTTTTTTTTTGCCAGGAGGGGGTTTCAAAATAGTGACAAATCATCAGGCTGATTTAAAAACACAAACAAGCAGATAATATGTGCAATTCTGATTGATGGTTTTTTCTTTCAAATTAAAAGCTTATATCATTTCAGTGCATTTTCCAAACCAATCCCATTTACAGACAGAAAGCTAAAGAAGCTCATTTCTGCTGACAAACAAGAGGGGTGAGTGCTAGACCCAGGATTAATGAAGACTCCCTCTAGGTGCTCCTGGCCCAATAGATCAATTTTTTTTCTAGATATGTTCCTGTTGACACATTGCTTTCCCCACTACCCTCTTGAGATCTGCTTTGCTGAGGGTGAGGACATTTGATTGGAATCACAGATGGGGCTGGGAAGGGTCAGCAAAGGCAGAGATGTGGCATGGAGCAGCACTGGAAATGTCGAGCCCTTGGAAGCTGCTGGGAGGGTTTCCCCAGCTGTGCTGGGGCAGGGGACAGATGGGTTGAGCTGAGCAGCACTATGCAGCCAGGCACTGCTGCAAACACCCTCACTGTTACCCCACCTGAGCACAGCAACATGCGACATAACTAATAGCAAATTAAATACTTTATTAGATTATCTTCCCATGCTGCTTTAGGGAAAGGTCACCCAGGCAAATGCCTGTACCTGGTTTGCTGAGAAGCTGGGGAGAGGACCAAGGTCTATATTTTTCCTCTCAGTAATCTTTGCTATCATCCCTCCTTCTGACTACTGCAAGTATGGATAGCTCAGGTATGATTCATCACACCTAACCACAGATACATGTGTTTAAGGAGTCCCCTGCAGGGACAACCAAGTTATAGTCAATACCATCAAAGCAGCATATGACATAATTCAGCAAAGATCTAGTAGGCAATGTGACCATTACAGATGATTTAGGTTTTAACACTAAAGCAAGTGCCACAGCTAAAACACCTCATAGGAAGTTCTTCATCCTGTTTCAGTTCCAGGCAATGAATGGATGAGTCTCTTGCACTGTTAAATTCTAGGATGACACATCCCTGACTGAGGCCTCAACTCTTGCAAGTGAGGAGTAATACAGCTGGCTTGAAAGAAATCTGAGCATCGTATGACCAATGACTTAAACCTAACAGATATCAACATCAGAAAATTAGGATTTTTCTTTAATACACATCAGATCTGCTACATAACTCTGCACCAAGACCCTGTTTACACAGTACCAAGGCTGGTGAGGATTCTGCAGGTATCATCTGGATCAGGCAAGAACATGCAGGCTGGAAGGAGAAAACTCTCAGCACAGCACTAAATACCAGGAGCCCTGTCCATGCCCAGGCAAACACAGGCACAAAACCAGTACAAGTGACAACTAAATCAGGCTGCTACTTCTTCTCAGATTTATTCCACTGGGTGTATTTTACCAGCCAAAAGAATCAAGCTTGCCTGAACAGAAATAAGTGTGGATAATATATTTAGAATCTTAAATTTGCTTTGCAGAGCTGGTACGTCTGAGACTGAGCTGTGATTCTGCTTCACTAACTACATTTTAAGATTGTGGTTTGCCCTTACTGAATTGTGCTCCTTGAAGCATCTTTTTAGGTATCTTATCAGGAACCATTCTGGTTCTCCTTGTGATCCAATGTGGTCCTCTGAGATGGAAAGCTCTCCCCTTCAGTTGGCTTTGCCAAAGAAGATCCATTCCTGGGCACATGCTGAAATTAGTGGAACTACAGCAAGGATGAACGTGAAAATTTACTGAGGAACGTATGTGTTAGAGCATCTATTCATTATGAAGGCAAACATTTTCCATCTAATTACATGCTCAGATTCAGTAATGGGCTCATTAATGTGGTATCTCAGCACTTTACGCTCTTCAGTGTATTTACTTTCATGCCACCTCTGTCAAGAACAAAAGGAGAAAAGAGCTTAAGGCTCACAGTCTTTAAAATGCCTAAGTGCTCACCTATTTAGGCAGCTGTCTCACTGACATGAAGAAGAGGAAGATGTCTTAATATCTGGGAATGTCAGAGCCTGCAGCTTGCCTACAATTACACAAAATTCTGTGAAGAAGCAGAAGCAAAATCTCATTTTGCCAAGACCAGTTTTAGCACCGCGTCCACCAGGCTCTCCTTTCTGTGTAGGCTTTGGAACAGAAGGTTTTGCTACAGATCATTTTTACTATAAACTCATCTTTTCTCTCTGGTATGACTGGATTAACAATATTCATGTATTCATAAAATATCAACACCTCTGCCTTTAGTACCTGAGTGAAAAGCACTAAATCAAGGAATGCTGCAAGAAGCCAGACATATTTTGGGCTGGTGCTGCATAATCTTACTTAGAGGTTTGGCCAAACCTCTCCTCGTGCATACTGCTCTGTCTCCATCAACAGTGCCCCAGCCATAAGACACTTCTTGAGACCTCATCTGCAAAGGCAATCAGTTTATCCACGACTCTTCTAATGACTCATTTCTGTCATCATCCTTCTAAGGCAACTAACTGATAGTGACAACTCAGGGGAATAATCAACCATAATTTATACGTTCCCGTTTTTAGAGCAGGGGCCAGGCTGCACATTCTGCTTTCATTTACCCTAAGCTCCACCATTATTAATAAAGTTGATCTGTGAACAAAAACACTGCGATAAAAAAGCTACCACCCCCTGCTTGAGTTTATATTTAGAAAGGAAATAAACAACCAAAGACTCCTGACTCCTCTGATCTGTGGACTGCAAGGTACAGCACAGCACTAGACGGACTTTCCCACCATGCTCCAGGCAAACTAGCTCACTTCCAAAAGCAGTGTAACCACCTCAGCATGCTGCAATCCAGACTAATATCACCCACAGTTAAATAAAGCCTTGGGCCTAAAGCTTCATTTCTCCCAGCTGGCATGCCCACACTCTGAGCCTACGCAATCAACAGCACCATGGCATGGCAGAGCAGCCCCAGAGCTCCTCTCTGTGCCACTCTGCACAGCACAGCCCAATGTGAGGTCCCAGTTTGAGACTCAGAAGACTGCTGTCCCATTAGCCATGGTTCTACCTCCCCATTAAACTGGCAGTGGGGCAGGAAT